CTGCGCCGGACCGCTTCCCGCCGCCCCGCGCGCGCCCGCCCACCGGGGCTAGAAGCTCAGAACCTTCTCTCTGCAGCCTGGTGTCTCTTCCTTCTTCAGGACTATCACACTACCGCCCAGACCACCTTTAGGTCTAAAGGACTTGAATTTTAACCCCTGTCCACATTCCCATCCGCTTATCCCATTTCTGGGAACCTATTTTGGTTTCTACCCCCAGTAATACCAGCCCTTTATGCAAGCCAAGCCATTTCTTACTTCAGATCCATTATCAGGGTGTTCACTGTGCTTGGAGACCTGTACTTCTTCCTTCTCTCAACTTCATGACTCAGCACAGGCCTCACCTCCAAAAAGCCTTTTCTCTCTTCGCTAGGTGGGTAAGGAGCCTCCCCTGGGCATTCATAGCACCTTCTGCAGCCATGTGATGGTTGTCTCTAAGTGTTCCTTTGAAGCCTGAGAAAAGTGGCAGATGAATTGCTACACTCCCCGTGGCTGGCCTTGTCCATCATGGAGGTCCCACGAGTGATGGGAAGGTGGCTGAGAAAATTGTCCAGTCAGATTTCTTTAGAGCAGAGTTGTCCCAGGAAACTGCAATGATGAAAACATTCTCCGATTTGTGCTGCGTGATGGTAGCCACAAGCCACATAGAGCTGTCAAGCACTTGAGTTGTATCTGCTATGGGCCGAGGAACTGCATTTTTAGTTTTAATTAAAATTTAAACGGAAATAGCCCACTGTCTGGACAGTGTTGTTGTAGAGCCTTCCTAAATCCTACCCAGCCTTCTACCCTCCCTGTATGCAGAGGTACTTCCTTGGATCTGCCTTCTAAATTGGTCACTTCACTAATGTGTGTGAATCTACACTTGCTACTAACAATTTCCCTCTCCCCCTCCCCTTGCTTTAGCACTCTTAATTCCTAGCATTGTTATTTCACCTTTTGGGGCACAGCATGGCCACCATGAGGTGCTTCCCACTGTTAGGAGCACCATTCATAGTCTACTCAGTCTGAGTCTCTTCAACTCCCCAACTGACAGGTATCTAGGCCGCCAAGATGCCAGGGCCAAGACCTCGGAAGGGCCCTCAAGCCAGTGGCCAGGGTGTGGCAGCTGCCAAGCAGGTATGAATGTGGTTTCCATCCTCTCTTAGTCAACTGGGTTGGGATCCCTAGACAATTGGGTCACCTGTGTGGGTTTTTTCTGTTAGTTCAGAGATTTAGAGAATTGCACCTGCAGGTGGGAAAGCCCTCTGACTAGAGCCTGTCACACAGGTGGTAAAAAGCCAGAGCTCCTCTCCTGGTTTTTTTTTTTTGTTGTTGAATGCCGGTACTGGGGCTTGGTGCCAGGAATTCCAGCCCCCCCTTTTTTTTTTTTTTTGCTTTTCATTTTATTTTTTTAAATTTAATTTATTTTTTTATTGTGAGAATACAGTACAGAGGAGTTACAATTACATGGGCAAGATAATGAGTACATTTTTTTTTTTTTGAGTCTGGTTGTGGGGCCTGAACTCTGGGCCTGGGCGCTGTCCCTCAGCTCTTCAGCTCAAGGCTAGTGCTCTACCACTTGAGCCACAGCACCACTTCTGGCTTTTTTTCTTTTTGCTTATGTGGTGCTGAGGAATTGAACCCAGGGCCTCATGCATGCAAGGCAAGCGCTCTACCACTGAGCCACCTTCAAGCATTGTTGCCTTCTCCTTGTTTCCCCTTCCCATCCCTTCCCATACTCCTCCCCTCCTCCACCAGGTCCTCCCCCCTCCCCCCACCAAAGTTGTTAAGTTCGTGTTTTCGACATGAACTCCAGCTCTTGCTTGGCTTTTTCACACAAGGCTGGAGCTCTGCTAGTTAAGCTACACTTCTACTTCTTACTTTTTGCTGATTAATTGGAGATGAGTCTCTCAGATTTTTGCTCCCAAGTTGGCTTTGAATCTTTATCCTCACATCTCAGCCTACTCAGGAGTGATAGACATAAGCCTTTAGCACCCAACTCCATCCTGCATTTCAACCAGCAATCTTCCTGCCATGATCACTAGATATGAGTAGTCTGGAGATTTTAGGTTTTAGTAGCCTCTGAAGTTCAGGATGTTCTTATGTTCTCTGGTGCAGACCTCCAGACTTTCATAGGTTTCTCATTTAGGCTCCTCCTTTCCTTGCAGTTAAGGATATTAGGGCTTGAAGGGTGTAGCCAATGAATGGGTGGACATAGAGCAGTGACCAAAGTGGGAGATGTAGTGTGTGTGTATGTGTGTGTGTGTGAGAGAGAGAGAAGGAGGGAGAGAAGGAGAATTTTTTCCTTCTGGCTTAAGTTCTGAGATTTCTTAGTCTATATTTTAGGTGGGAGGTAGGTCAAAGAGCATAGATTGAATTCACGAAGACCTTATTTTCAATCCTGATTCTGTCATTCATGAGGCTCAGTTTCATCTGATTTACCTCTACTGCAGTAGTCACATTTATGGACACAGATAGTAGAGTGATGGTTACCAGAGGTCAGAGGGAGGGGAGAAGGGGATGGCAGTATTTATTATGTACAGAGTTTCGGACTGGATGGCTGGGGATGATGGTTATACAACAATATAAATATACTCACATCACTGAATTCCATACTTAAAGAGATAGGATGAAAAATGGCACTGTGTGTTTTACCACTGAAAAATAATGGGCCAGATAGGGTGGAGAATATCTGTAATCACAGCACTACAGAGGTTGAGGCAAGGCCAGCCTGGGCTACCCAGTGATACTCTGTCTCAAAGAAAGAAACAAACGAAGGTATATGTGGGATTAGTGTAATCATGTATTATTTCACATTCAGGACCTGGGACCTATTGCTGTGTTGTTAGTAATAATGGCAGTATAGTCTTTTTTTTTTTTTTTTTTTGGGTCTGGTTGTGGGGCCTGAACTCTGGGCTTGGGACCTGTCCCTCAGCTCTTCAGCTCAAGGCTAGGGCTCTACCACTTGAGCCACAGTACTACTTCTGGTTTTCCGGGTGGTTTATTGGTGATAAGAGTCTCACGGACTTTCCTGCCGAGGCTGGCTTTGAACCATGATCCTCAGATATCAGCCTCCTAAGTAGCAAGGATTACAGGCATGAGCCACTAATGCCCAGCTACTGTGTGATATTTCAATACATGTGTACAATCTGTACTGAAGAAATTAGGGTAATTAGCATTTCTGTTTCCTCTTACATTTGGAGCCCTTGAGGTACTTTCTTCTGTGTGTGGGGGTGTGTTAGGGGGGATATCGGGGATTGAGTCAGGGCCTTGGAGATGATAGGCATTTGTTGTTACTGAGCTATACTTTTACCCTTCAGGTTTTTTTTTGTTTGTTTCTAAAATACGGTCTTGCTGTGTGGCTCAGATTGGCCTTGAACTTTTATTGATCTTCCTGCTTTTGCCTCCTGAGTGTTCAGTTTATAAATGTCCACCACCATACCTAGTATTATCCTTGCTCTTGTCAATGCTCCTAGTGTAGGTAGGCATGGTTAGACTCTTAACTATTTAGAATAGAGAGGTCAGAAGTGTTACCAGTGTAGCTGACCCACGTGGTAGGGTCAGGGTAGGAATTTGTTTGAAGCTTTTCTCCTGCCTCCCTTTATCCCTTCAGTCAGTTTTCACTGTGGGTCTGTGCTTGCCAGGTGTTGTACCTTGGCATCTGCCTACTGTATCCAATAAAGGAAAAGTACCTGGTAGCACAGTTTGACAAATTCTGTGTTTCAATCATGAAACTTTTAGCCATTGGAGATCAGAAGTATTTCCGGAATGGTTAATTTATAAAATATCTGTTAACTTAGAAGGGATGTGTAGTACATTTTATAAGTAAAAGATTCAGACCTGCTGTGTTCTGACTCCGGGGCTTATATTCTATTCTCTTGCGTTTGTGTAGCATTGGGACATGCACTGATACCTTCTAGAGTATTGGGGATTCTGGGCTCCAAGTGTCCACTTTTTACAAAAGACGAAATGATCAGATACAGTCTCAGGATTACCTTTCCTCTTCTGCTTTTCTTTTTCTATTTAGATATACACTCAACATGTGGCCCTGTGTAGAATGGAGGGACTGCCATACCCCACCATGTCAGAGACCATGGCTGTATGTTCACGGCTGGGTTCCTGCCGCCTTCTCCTGGTGGAGTCCAGCAGGAACGACCTCCTCCTTCGTGTGCGGCTCAATGTCAGTCAGGATGATGTGCTGTATGCACTGAAAGAAGAATAAAGGCTTCAAAAGAGGCTGCTGTTTTTTAATGGACCTCACTTCCCTTCACGCCTTTTTTGTAAAGACATAATTCTGCCTCTACCTCTCAAGTGCTGGGGTTACGGGTGTGCGTGCATCACCACTCCCAGATGCTGATTTTCCTTTTTGCACATGAAATTGTTGTAGCCAAATACAAATATTCATATTATAAACTCAAACTGTTATATATTAGGTCCTCCCTCTGACTGTTATTACTGTTACTAGCTTTGCCATTTATCTAGTGCTAACTACTGTGGATGGACACAGTATACTTGTATCAGTATAATTGGGTATAAATTGGCTATACTCATTGCCTCTAGGAAGGATCCAGCTGTTTTGGCTCAGAAGAGGAGGCCTCTTCATTGCAATTTAACAATATAAAACAAAATTGAGTTTATTAAAACCTGCTGAAAATAATATTTCTAGCAACAGATAGCTAAAAACAACAACAAAAACAATTTTTTAAAGGTGCTATAACATTTATACAGAAACCAAGGACAGGACAAGCTAACATATGAAGTTTTATGTAAGGCAAATAGGAAAATCTAAGAAACATTCTACAAAGCAACTGAACTTCCTGACCTGTAGCCACTGGAAATATCACAGCTCTGCATAGTGGTGAATTTCTGTAATCTCCCTGTATTTGGGAAGCAGAGATAGGAGGATCCAGTGTTTGAGGCCAGCCTGAGCTACATAACATGTTAAAAAAAATATTCTGAAAGGGGGAAAACGAAAGCATGAACCTTTCTGGTCCAAGAGAGAACAAAGACATGAGACATAATATGTGGACCTTTATTAGGTCCTCGAATTAAGAAAGCTGGCACCAGGGGTGTCAGAGCTATAATCCTAGCTACTCAGAAAGCTGAGGTCTGAGGATTGCAGTTCAAAGCCAGCCTGGGTAGGAAAATCCATAATAGTCATCTTCAATTAAGCACCAAAAAAGATGTAAGTAGATTCAAGTGGTAAAGCACTAGCCTTGAGCAGAAAAGTTCTGGGACAGTGCCCAGAAGTTCAAGCCTCAGTACTGGCACTGATACACACAGAAAATTAAGGGTTTTCGTGTCTGCAATAAAAATGAATTCATAACCTAATGGAGTAGACTCACAAGACAAAGGATGGGTAAAGAATTCATCCAGGAAAGAAGAAAAATCAAGATGAACACAATGAATCAGTAGTATTCAAATGAAAACTTGGATGTGTTGGAGAACCTGCTAGTAACAGAATGGAAATACAAATGGAACCCAAATGCTTCACTTTATGGGAGTAGGAACTGGAATGACCTCTTTGGAAATAATGTAATATTTAGTCTGGAAAATGCAAGAAATTCTTTGAGCCATTCCATTACTAGGAATGTACTCCAGAGAAATTTAATATATGCATATATTAATATGATCCAGCATTGTATGATAGCAAGCCATTGAAAAATTAACCTGTGCATTTTCATAATAAACCAAAATGGAAATAAGCTTAAGTGTACATACCAGTGACATGCAAAAGCTTGCAAAGGAATCTTATGCTGCTTTTCAGCAGGATCTTTAGATACAGAAACTTTTCAGATGCAGAAATAAACATTCAGGACAATGTTAGTTCTTTGAAAGTGTTGCAGGATGGAAGGTACACAGGTACCTTAACTGTACTGAATGAGGTATTTTCTTAGATGTGATAGGTATCCATGAATTGTGTTAATTCAAACAGAAACAGGAACTACTGAATGTCATGCTCTGCTCTAGATGTTGGAGGTAGCTAAGAAGCAAAATATTATGCTTGGGGGCTGGGAAGGTGGCTCAGTGGTATAGCGCTTGCGTTGCATGCCTGAGGCCCTGGGTTTGATTCCTCAACACCACATAAGCAAAAAGAAAAAAGCCGGAGGTGGCGCTGTAGCTCAAGTGGTAGAGTG